ATTGATTCCATTGCTGCGCTGCTCTAACAGTTGGGAAGTTTTTTTCCTGATATTCAACCAAAATCTGACTTCCTTTTACTTGAGCCCATTGTTGCTTGTCCTGCACTCTGGGACAATTGAGAACAGATCCTGCTCCTTCTCTATATGACAGCCTTTCAAGTAACTGAAAAATGCTACCTTATCTCCCCTCAGTCTTCTCTTCTCAAGGCCCAATTCTTTTAGTCTTTCCTCATAAGGCTTGGCTTCCAGTCCCTTAATCACCCTTGTTGCTCTTCTCTGTTCCAATTTGTCAGCATCCTTTTTGAAGTGTGGTGTCCACACCTGGACACAGTACTCAAGACGAGGCCTAATCACTGCCAATAGAGGGAACTAGGACCTCATGGGATTTGGAGACTATTTGTTTATCTATTTTGTTTGTTATATTTATGACCTGAATTTCTTCCATTGTGTTCAAAGCAGCACATACAGCACTCTGCCTCCACAGTATCTTCGCAATAACCCTATAATGGATGTAGTTTAAGCTAACAGAAAATAATTGATGATCCCCCAGTGAGTTTCATGGCTCAGTGAGGCCTTGAACCTAAATCTGCCTTGTCCTGGTCCCAAAGTCATAACTAGGAATGTTGCTACCCCAGGGCTTTCTCATCCTATTGGCCAAGTGCGGGTCATGTGAGACTGGCATACACAGCGAAGGTGAGAGGAACAGGCAGAGAAACATCTCAGCGCATGACAACCTGAGTTCCACACTGAGCTTGACTGTTTTGTGTTTACTCCTTCCTGGGGAGCAGAAGCTGTGCCCAGTCTTTGCACTCAGAATGGGCAGATTCACACCCTTCCAGCAGAAGATCTTGGCATTAGCTACATTTTGATACCCTGGATCAAAGCCCCAGTTATTCTACCTTAGATAAGGCCCTACACTGTCAAAGATTCCAGCTACTCGTTTCTCTCTAGCTGCATGGATTTTAACCACCCCTCCCTCTTGTCTTTCTGATGGAAGGTAAAGACCATCCTTTCCAGATAGGTAACTAGTTGGGCAGTGAAGAGTTCTGATTTTGGATACTGAGCATTGTTATTATTGTGTGTGTGTTTCAAAATATTTGTAATGTGTTTTTAAGTGTTTAAAATAATTGTTTTAACACTATTATACATTTTAAGACAACAATTTATCATATTTTAGTTGTTGTTTTTAAATAATTTCTGAAATACCTTGGGCACCTTCAATGGGAAAAAGGCAGCATAAAAATGCAATGTTATGAATGGATGGATGGATTTCATGCTTTTAATTATGGTTAAATTCTAAGCTCTGTTTGGTCCTTGGTCACTCAGATCCTTCACAGATCCTGTGTATAAGTATCTCTGTGCATCATGAACCTTCTGTTCCCAAAGCCTCTGTGCAACTCTTGTCCATACAGAAATGCTCCTGCAAGCCCTACTGAGCAGAGTTAGGATCCTTTGGCCATAAGGATGGTGTGATGACAACTCCCACAATTCTTTACCATTGGCCACCATTGCTGAGGCTTCCGAAATTATATTTGGAGGACTCATGGTTTCGCAACCTTGCTTTCAATACTAATGGGGATGAACATTAGAAGCGGGAATCACAATTATATGTGTGACTCATTTCCTGTGACTTAGTATAACTGAACATGTGCCAGTATGCTAAGTTTACTTGATATAATATTGTACTATATCTTCTTCACACCATCCAAATACACTCCTCCTCAGGAACTGGCATAGGCTATTAATCTAAGTTCTCATCTGAAAGAAGCAAGGAAATGGGTAACGCTGAATTCAGTTGTATTTGCTTTAGACTGGGGTAGGCAACTGGCACCCAGCCAGATCTTGCTAGGCTGCACAACCCATCATCCCTTATCATTCACTATGCTGAACTAGGGCTGGTGGGAACTCCAATCCCATAATATCTGGGAGGGCCATAGTTTACCCACCTCTGGACTGGACGATAAAATGAGCAGAGCATTGTGGGAAAAGATCGGATTGATACACTTGTTATCATCCATCTAGGGACAATGGTTCCCAACGTTGGGTCCCAAAACGTTCTCAGACTAAAACTCCCAGAAGCTTTCATCCACTAGCTGTGCTGACAAGGATTTTGGGGAGTTGTAGTCCAAGAACATTCGGGGACCCAAGGTTGGGAACCACTGATCTAGGAGAACAGAAAGAGGGTACTGTATTTGTTCATGTCCACGTTCTACCTTTTAATATCATATTATATTTTCCAGTTGACAAGCCCAAATAACAAGTTTTTATAAATTGTGGCAACATTACAGAATGACAACTTCAGACTAGGTGGGCCTGTAAATGCTACCAAGACAGTCAGCTATATGAGGATTGTTTTCGCAAGGCAAGTGTGAGGAGGAGACAGACTATTTAGCCAGCTATGTACGTAGTCAGGATTGGATCATTCTTTAGATTGACTGCCAAGCAACATTTTTATTTTATGTTTTTGACAATGCATGCTGGAACAATCTTTGAGCAGGCCTCCAACAAACATATGAGTAGAAAGGATAGAATATAAACCCTGGTGGTTTGTGGGGAACTATCTATCATGTTGAGCAACTCCAGGCGATGATGCAGCTGAGCCAGGAAAACCACTTCACAGCAACACTATGAAACGTACACGATCAGGAAAAGTGGTCCACAAACAGTGTCATGTCAGACTGCTGCCTTAACTCTTCAGAAACAGAGCTTTGTGAAGCATAGATAGGAGATGGAGCACCTCTCCCTCACCTCTTCCCGTATCTTACTTCTCTGCTCTCGCCAAGATGGAGAACTTGTGGACCTCCAGATGTTGCTGAACTATCATTCCTCACCATTGGCCAGACTGGCTGAGTCCAATGAAACCCAGAAACCAACAACATCTGGAAGGGCCCAGATCCTGTATCCCTGCCCTACATCCACAGCCTTGGCAGCCACAGCAGCCCAAAGCAATGTTGTAGAGAGTCTAGAACTTTGTGGGAAAGGGTCTTCTGAGGATCAACATGTTTTAATCTTTCCTTTCATGTGTAAACCATCTCCTGGGCAGCAATCCAATGGAGAGTTACATTACTGCTTAATAAACTGCTTTTATTAGAATGCCTTTTCAATTCCCATAGTCCGGTTCACCACCTCTCAGATTTCTTCACATTTTCTTCTTCTCTTTCCAATGTTACCTCTCTATTACTGTGAATATCACTTCAGTGTTATACTGAAATTCCTTGCCTGCCTGTAAACAAAGCTTGGGAAGTCTGTCTGTAGTAGGAGTTCTTATTGTCTTCAAGTCTTCTGGTGTGCTTCCTTTGTTCGCAAGAACAGCTGCTCTGGATAGCAAGAAAACGCTGGTTTGCTTAATGACTTGGTTCGTGTTTGCTCCAAAATGCCTTATATGTGCATCTATGGTCTGGCAATATCCTCACTTCTTGGAAAGAGTTGTGTTTATTAAACCAAAGAGAGTCTCATGAGGTCTTCTCAATTACAATAATTTATTTTGTAATCAGTATCTCCACCTAAGGAAAGGCATACAAACTGAACATAAGCCATCATGTATGATGATGGAACACATATTTTCATGATCCATATATATAAAATCACCTGTATCTATAGCATGGAGATGCAACATGTGCCTCCCAGGCCCGATGCAGCCCTCAGCACCTATAAGGACCCCCTGTACCCTACCCCAAATTTAATATTTGGAAGAAACATTGGCTTTATAAGTCTCTTTGCATCCTCTGGGGGAGATGAGGAGACCAGTGTTGCCATATGTGGAGACCTCTCATGTCTGGACCTCATCCCTTCCATTTCTTTCTTAAAAATCATAGAATCATACAGTCATAGAAAAATGAAGGTGGAAGGAGCCGATGAGACCATCAAGTCCAACCCCCCTACTCGATGCAGGAATACAAATCAAAGGATATCTGCCAGGTGGTTGCCTAAAATTAAATATGTTGGCCTCTAAAGGGGACAAAGGGAACTTTCTGCTTTAAAAAGAATTTTTTGCAAGAAATTGTGGGCGCGGGGGAAGTAAGGCTTCCAAGGTCTAGGGATGCTCCCTTGAACTCCAAGTTTTGCCCTATAGATTTCTCAAGAGTAGTAAGCTCCCTGTTTTTTTTTTTCTGTCTAGGGCTTATAAGTAATCTTTTAATGGTTATTTGGCTGGGGGTGGGGGTGGAGGTAGGGGTTAAAAACAGAGCCAAGGCCAAAATGGTAGAGTTATCCTTTTATTTTTCTTGCCACCATCCTCTTTTTCTGCCCCTTTCTCTTTCTTTCCCTCCCCCTGCCACCCTACTTCCTCTTCATAGGGTGCTGGGTAAGGGACCATTCACTCTAGAGGGTTTGACTACAGATGTCCAAGGAACCTGGAGGAGAGGGGGCATTTATTTATTTATTATTACTGTATATAAAAACAGAAGAGCCAGTGTAATATAATGAATGGAATGTCAAACTGGGACTCAGGAAATCTCAGTTCAAACTCCCTGCTTGGCCGTAGAAGCTCACAGGATGCTGTCAATGATAAACCACTCTTTGAACATCTCATGTACCTTGAAAACCTTGTTAGGGTTGCCATCAGTTGGAAGCAACTTGATGACATTTATCAGCAGTAGATAAACTGTAGGTGTGAAAAAACATTTCACTGTGCAGGTTTTCCTTCCCGTCTCAAAAAATAAATAAATAAATCTGCAGGTACTCTTGGTCTGGACTGATCACTTGCAGAGAGATATGAAACCAGGGCAAGGGCTCTAGGCTGCCAACTCCCCACAGAAGGAAATTTGCACATTGCCCTTGCTTGGAAGAACTCACTCTTGCGCTAGTCCTTGACTCAGCCCTCCTGGCCATTTTGGGATGGACTCCTTGAGACTCCAGTTCTTTTCATGAACCCTTTAGAGTTTTACCCAGGCTATCCCATTCCCCCATCTTGCCAGGCCTGGTTAGTCCTCTTGTGGAGTCCCCCCCCCCGAAGTCCTTGATCCTGACTCTCTTGCTACTTGTTTCCAGCAGGTCTTGCGATGACAGTGACATACACGTACAGGGTTGCCGATGCACGCCTGGGCACTTTCTCACAGCTCTTGCTCCGATGGAAAGGCAGCATCTACAAACTTCTCTACTGCGAGTTCTTAATCTTCATCTCTTTCTACTTTGGCATCAGCCTCATCTATAGGTGAGCCTTACAATTTCCTCTAAGCCTAAGGGTTCCTTCGGTTTTTCCACATCACAACCATGTATGGTGTCACATCACAACCATGTATTAGACGTGACATGTGTGACGTCTGCAAGCGACTGCTGGCTGACCACAGCCTGATTTTTTTTTGTATAAAACTGTGTTTTAGTTTCTTTAAATCACACCTTTAATTTTAACGCTGTTTCAATATTTGATAGTGTTCTCTGTTTTAATATTATCTTTATTCAATTTATTGGGAGCTACCTTGAGTTCCATTTGGAAGAAGAAAATTGAAATATAAATCCAATAAATGAATGATAAATAACGATATCTTGCACATCTAGTGAGAAACTCTCTATTTGTTGGGGGAGAGGAAAAGAAATTTATTTACTTTTACCCCCTTTTTTAATCTGACTACAAGATCTGCTTCTCCCCAGCTGTCTTCCTTCCCACAACTGGATCTTCTCAGACATACATGAGGCTTAGGAAGTAAATGTTTACCTTTCAATGGTCGGCCACATAAATCATGCTACATGCAGAATATCCAGGAAAACCGCATGTGACTCACAGCTGGCATTCACCACTAGAGGGAGCAACTTTTTGTAAAATGCTATGGATATCTTCTAGCTCAGTGGTTCTCAAACTTGGGTCCCCAGATGTTCTTGGAGTGCAACTCCCAGAAATCCTGGCCAGCACAGCAAGTGGTGAAGGCTTCTGGGAATTGCAATCTAAAAACATCTGGAGACTCCATTTTTAGAACCACTGCACTAGTCTGACTTTTAGCCACAATGGAAAGAGTGGAGCAAAGGCCGTAACAATGGCTTATAAGACCGTTCAGTACTACCAGCCTAATACTCTAAGCTCCCTCTCTCCATTCTTATCTTTGTATACACAGGTAATTAAAATCTGAAGATTTCAATGTCAGGAAAACAGTCCTCCCAATTTCAGACCTTTTCAGCAAATGAAGTATATTTTTTTTAAAAAAAAGAAGAAAGGAAAGCAAAAGAAAACAAATATTTCCAACATATAAGGACTACAGACTTTCTCAGAAATAGAAAACATGATGTGTATGGGAGAGGGGGAATTAATAGATTAGTGTTACCTCAGAACTAGAGTTTGGTAAATTTTACTTTTTTTAGATTGTAACTGTCAGAATCCAGAATTACAACTGTTGCTGTAAGCTGCCCAGAGACCTTTGGGTAGTGTGGGCGGCATATAGGTTAAATAAATAAATAAATAGATAGATAGATAGATAGATAGATAGATAGATAGATAGATAGATAGATAGATAGATAGATAGATAGATAGATAGATAGATAGATAAATAAATAAATAAATAAATAAATAAATAGCTAGCCAACACAGACACAGGGAATTGTAGTGCAAAAAGAGTCATTTCCCAAGCTTTACTACTTTCTAGGCATGAAGAATGATTTGAACATCTTCACACAAACAGAGAGAGAGAGAGAGACTTCTTTCTGCACAGACACACTGAACGGGGGAGGGGTGCTGAGTGCTCTGAGGGGCCTCCTCTACCCTTCTGTGTTTCCATTCTAGGTTGATTCTGAACGAGAGCCAACGGCTGATGTTTGAGAAACTCGCCCTGTACTGCAACAGCTATGCCGAACTGATCCCTGTGTCCTTCGTGCTGGGTGAGGGGGAAAAAAAATCCAACAACAGGGAGAACAATCCAAAGCGTCGGACTTTATTTTATTGTGTTTATTCATGATGTGTACAGAAAAGGGCCAGCACAAAGCACTTGGAAGCTGGAGGAGCTGAGGTCATAATGCTAGATGCTGGGCTCATCCACTGAAGTGGAATGGTGCAAGATTCAGGACAGATAGATGATTTTATGATATTTGCTATATTGTGATGTTTTTATTATGCGTGCAAGCCGCCCCATGTAGACTTTGTCTAGGGGGGTGGGGTGGGGAAAAAATCTAATAAAAGTAAAAAAGTAAAGATAAAAGGAAGTTACATTCCAATTAAATAAACAGTGTGGGGCACACTGTTCACCCAGTACACAGTATAACCGTGGAATTCACTACGGCAAGATTTAGTGAGGACTGCTAACTCGTAGCAGTCCTCACTAAAGAGCATTTGTTTAGCTCTCCTTGCACTCATGACAGCAGTACTGCACAGTTTAAAGGGGTGTGGAGAAGTTCATGGAACCTAGGGCCATCCATGACAGCAAGCCAGGAAGGCTATGTATTGTCTCCAGGTTGAGAAGCGGAGTGCCTCTGCAAATCCATTGGTGGAAAATGCAAGACAAAGGGTACAGGGGCACTCTTGCGTCCTGCTGTCAGGCTTCCCATAGAGAACTGGCTGGCGGACTAGAAAGGACTCATCCAGAGTTGCCTATCTTACTTCCTTTAGACTGTTGCAGAAGGAAGCTCACATGAAGATGTCTTCTTGGAGAGGCAGAGGGTGGATACTTCCACAAACAGACCTTTGCCGTTCGGTTGGCAGTGCAATTCAGGATTGTTCCTCCCTATCTCAGGCTGTGGAGACTGTGAGGGGTGGTTGAGTACTCATGCTCCTAGGCTAGCACTCGGTGAGAGAAGGTCAGGATCTCTCTTCACAGTACTAGCTTGCCAGAAGAAGGCCCTGCAAATAAGGCTCCCTGGTGTGGAGCACAGGCGCCAAGCAAAATCTTAAGGCCAGAGGCTGCCTTTGTGCAAAACTGAGGAGGCTCCCTCCAGCAGTAGGTGCTGGGTAACATGAAAGGACAGCAGTTGGTAATGGTTAGCTATTTAATTGAGTCTATTTCATTTATTTGGTGCCAGAGACAGGGAGAGGCAATTAGGAGATTTTCTTTCCTCATGAGCCCAAATCACTTGGCTGGCTCCAGTCCCTGCAGTCTCAGAGGAAAACTGGAAATTGTAGAAATGGCATCTTAGGAAAACCCAAAAGTGAGGAACAGTTGTGGATCAGACCTTCTAATACCTGCTGGTGGTGGTGTGTGCACGCCATGGGTGCCTGCATTTCTCCACTCACCTTCTCCATCCTTTGTTTTTTAACACACACACCCCTAAATTCTGCTGGAAATATATGGACGCATTTCATTTTGATTTGATTTGATTTGAGCTGTTTAAGGCACTATGTACATAGATGTCAGGTTTTTTAAATTCTTGAGGTGGGGAAGGACCTCACCAAAATAATTAGATTGTGTTGGCAGAGACTGCCAGCAACTATGCAAACAGTGCCTTTGGAGGGGAGGGGGGAAGGTTTGCCTGCCTGCAGGTAAGAGACACTTCTCTCCTTGTGACTGACTGTCCCATTTCTGTTCCAGGCTTCTATGTTACCTTAGTGGTGTCTCGCTGGTGGGGACAATATGAGAGCATCCCGTGGCCTGACCGCGTCATGAACCTGGTCTCAAGTAGCGTGGATGGGAAGGATGAGTATGGGCGCCTCCTGCGGCGCACCCTGATGCGCTACATCAATCTGCTGGGTGTGCTGATCTTGCGCTCTGTCAGCACTGCCGTCTACAAGCGGTTTCCCAGCATAGAACATATTGTGACAGCAGGTACCAGCCACCACCATGGCGATCTACTATTTAGGACAAAATTCCTAAATGGAATCAATACTCTGCTTTGCAGAGTTCAAGCATATTGCTTGCATGGATGATCACTCCTAGAATTCCTGGCCATACTCAAAACAAAACAAAAGCTCCCCCGAGCTCACTGCTTTGTGTCACAAATAAAGATATCCACAGGTATCCATAAAAAAACCTAGCCCAGCCTCCCCAAACTTGCTGTCTTCTAGCTCCTACCACAGAATAAGAAGTTAGCATTAGGCACTTCCTGTTTCACACTAGGACATTCACCAGTGAGGTATATGTTCATTGAGTACTTTTATGCTGGAGTCAGGAATCGGTAACCTACAGCAATTTGAGCACTTTCCATCCTTTCCATCTCTTTATCATTTTTAATAGAGGGAACATCATCACCATCATCACCATCATCAAGAGCCATCAAAAACAGCAATATTAGGAACAACATACATACTGTGTCGATATTTAACAGCTACTTAGGTTTTTGGTTAAAACTTGTAACTGTTCTATAATACCAGTCAATGTTTTTATAATTTTGACTGTGCCTGGTGTTTTTGAACAACAACAACAACAACAACAACAACAACAACAACAACAACAATAATAATAATAATAATACTACAGTGGTGCCTCACATTACGATTGCTCCACATTGCGATGAAACTGCATTACGACAATCTTTTTGCGATCGCAAACGATGGTCTGAATAGTTTTTTTTCGCTTTGCGATGATCGGTTCCCTGCTTTGGGAACCAATTCTTCGCAAAACGATGATTTTCCTCCAGCTGATCGGCGGTTTCAAAATGGCCACCGGGTAAATAAAATGGCTCCCTGCTGTTGTCTGGGACGGATTCCTCGCTGTGCAGGGACCGAAAATGGCCGCCCTATGGAGGATCTTCGCTGGACGGTGAGTTTCCAGCCCATTGGAACACATTGAATGGGTTTCAGTGCATTTCAATGGGCTTTTTATTTTCATCTTACGACGTTTTCGTTCTACAGCGATTTCGCTGGAACGAATTAATGTCGTAATGCGAGGCACCACTGTAGTAGTAGTAGTAGTAGCAGCAGCAGCAGCAGCAGTAGTAGTAGCAGTAGTAGCAGCAATAATA